AGTTTTCTCTTATCCAAACTAAAAAAAAACAATTATTTCAATCATCTATCATAGATAATGTTTTTTAGACATTTAATCATTTTTGCTGCTCTTCTCTGAGCTATCTCCAATTTGACACAGCTTTCCTGAAAAAAACCAATTATTTCAATCATCTATCATAGATAATGTTTTTTAGACATTTAATCATTTTTGCTGCTCTTCTCTGAGCTATCTCCAATTTGACACAGCTTTCCTGAAATGTGACACAATACTCCAGGTGAGGTCTAACCAGCCCGGAATACAGTGAAAGAATTATGACTCATGTCTTGTTTGCTATCTTCCCTATTCTCTTACAATGCCTGGCTCCTTCGATGCCCTCTCCAACCTTTAGACTCCTATCTGAGCCCCCAGCTCCTGCTCCAACTCCTCTACCCACTACTGCATCTAAGTCAGACTGCTTCCTTCTCCAGTGCAATGCTGGCTGTGTGCTAGCAAGAAGGCATCTTCTATCGCTTACTCTATCTTCCGCTCTCAGTTCCAGTGCCTAGCATCACAGCAGCAGCAGGAAAAAATTCTAATAAAGTCTTGTTCAGCTCTTGCAAACCCAGGATAGAGTATGCTCAACAGGGGCTCTGAGTCAGGCTGTCCCTACCAACATCGAAAATATGCAGCACCCCTAGCTACTCCTCCCACACTCACTGTCCCTTTCCCCAGGGCATATCCCTATGATCTCACCTCTACTTTTATGGAGATTTGACTCTTCTAATCCACCACATTGACCTCCTCCCAAACTCCAACACCATACTGCACCATAGGGTACCTTAAGGTCCTCCACCACTACTGGGCACCCTGCACTCCCTATATGTCCCCATAGTGCATTCTCTTTGCCCATGCCTCTGCAGGGCAGGCACAACACGATCAAGGGGTGTGCGCAAAACCTGCCTCCCAACAGGAGCATAAGCCACTGGTTGCATGAAGATTGGGATCACCCTGAAGCCTCCCTTCCCTTCAGGACAAACTCACTGGTGAGGCTGCACCCTACCCTGATGCAGCACAAGCACTGGACATGCTCCAGAAACACACTAGAGCCCCAGCCCTCTGAACCAGGTGCACTGTAACAGCAAGTGAAAGGGACAGCCTTGAAATTTCACCTAGCCCAGCCACCCACCTGGCAGTGATTTATGTCTCTCCTGGCTGCTTCTGCTATGCCTGCTTGACATTGCTGCTGGAGAGGGACATGTGACCTCTCTCTCAGTTTCCTTTTGCTTCCCAGTCAGAATTAGTGATGTGTTCAGGGCTCGACAAATCATTGAATCTACTCGCCTATGGTAAGTAGATTTTAGCCAGTTGTCCCGTTCACCGACAGCGCGCGCATGCGGGTCTTGCGCATGTGCAGTGCGGGACTGGTGAGCAGATTTCGCAGCCATTTGTCAAGCCCTGGTGATGTTAAAGGTTAAACAGTTAACTGGTTACTTGGTAAGCATTAGCTTCACTGCCATGCTTATCAGGTAACCAGTTTCTGCAAGGGAAATTAATTCTGCACATGCACAGTGGCACAAAATTCCCCCAAGAAATATGAAGCTTCTTCAGACTTCCTCTGAAACATTTGGCTCTGGTCACTTTCAATCAGAGACAGCAGTACAAAAGTAAATGAATCAGTGGTCTGCTCTGATCCAGACTGCTCTGGCAAGTTCTGTTTTCTTTTAGGATCCTCTGTACTAATACAATGTACCACTCTTTGGTTTTCAATACAAAGGAGTGTTTAAAATAAATCATTACAGTCCATAAATCAAAATGTTGGGCCTAATCTACTTATTTTAAGGAGTAATATAAAAACACAATTATGTCCCAAGTCTCCCCAATGAGACAGATCTCCCTATTACATCAGCCTTTAAGTAAGGAATCAGGCATGTACTAAACAGAACACAAAACTGTCCGATAAAGACAAAACAGTTCTTATTCATTCTCATGTATAATAAAGACACTGAAGGCAGCCAAAAACCCTATCAGTATATTCTTGCAAGTGACAACCACAAAGGTTAATTATATAATCTATTTATGAAGTACAGCGCCAGCTAAAATAAAACTAGGACTGAAAAAAACATCCAGCCAAGGAAAACTGTCTCCAAAATAAAAACAGAATTCAAATGCATTATCGAAAGTGGCACTGATGAGTCTTTCTGCATTATCTCACATGATGGCAGCAACAGCTGTGTGATCTCCATGTAGCAGCAGCTCAGCAGGCAGAAACCGAACACTTGGGCTTGAAAACTGCCTATTTATTACTAGCACCTCCAGCCTCAAAAATCACAAAGGCGAGCTCCCAGGTATAGCTGAGCCACGCCGCAGCCTCAGCAAGCACGTGCCAGCGAGACCCCTACCTCATTGCACTCCCGGGGGGTTGGGCGACGGCAGAAGCTCCGGCCACGCAGAGGGTCCGACGCCCCCTAGAGGCAAGTGGTGGAAATTAGACACGAAACTTTACGCACCGGACAACTTTCCCCGGCCGAGGGCCGCTCCCATGGGCGGGGGTCTCACAGCTGCGGCACCAATGGGAAAAAGAAGCTCGTGGGCT